TGTTATTTCAAATAGAACGCCCCATATAGGTATTTTATATTTTTAAATTCTATATAACATTTTGAGTAAAATTACTATACCATGTCCTGTACCTAAAGTGAATAGTTTTTAATAGCCTATAGCCTAGCCTAACTAGGTTTGTAAATATGGGGGTAGAATTTTTGGAATCTAAAAGATTCCATGTCAATTCTTTAACATTTTTCAACAAATTACCTGAGAAAACCCAGGGTAAATTAGACTTGAAAAGTCAATAACTTTTTTATTTTGAATGTAACACCCGATATGTTTTTACATAATCCAATAGTAAATTAAAAAACCTTCCATGGAATTTTATACAGAATTTAAAAATGTAAAAATACATGAGGAAGGTTAAACCGGAAGTGGCATTTCATTTCAAATATTTTAGAAAAATAGACTTAAGTAAATGGATTATAGATCTCGAAAAATGTTCCCCAGAAACTTCTAATGGACCACGAATGTGAAACACCTTGTATATCCATTTTGCAGTACATTTAATTACGTACAAATTATTTTTTAAAAATTTATTTTATCATTAATATTTAAAAATTTATTTATTGTTTTTTATGATTTTTTAATTTTCGTTGAAAGAACGTTAAGTAGGTAGAGGTATACAGGGTGCGAGGGGGAAACCACCTTCCGCAATACGTGTACATTTGGTCCGAAATCACTTGCAATCGTCGCTGCAATCCCGCAGTCACTTCGCAATCGCCGAAATCCCGCAATAACCGAAATCTCCATCTGCAATCCCGCAATCGCGGAAATCCTATACCTGCAATCCCGCAATCGGGTTGGCTAAAAACAATAAGGCACAGCTGTGTTGCCAAATTTATTTAAAATAAGTGTAACTAGGCAAGTTTTTATGTATGTGGTTTTTGAGGTGACTCATTAGGAATTTGGTATCCATTTTTCTAAAAACAAAATGGCTGATCTAATATGGCGGTCATTTGTCGTTCAGCTTTAACGATTTGGATGAAATTTTGTAAAAAGATATTTTTGGGGTAGCTGATTATGAATTTTATTTCAATTTGCAATTGCGGATTCAAAATGGCAGATATCTATGCGCAGTAGGTACCTGATGGTTGGATCTATGCGCAGTAGTTACTGGATGATCGTACCTATGCACAGTAGTTACTAGATGACTGTACCTATGCGCAGTAGTTTTCAGATGGTTGCATCTACGGGCAGTAGTAACGTGCACTTTCGGCCTAAAAAGTTTTACTTTACCCAAGTAATCTTGGCAAACAAAATTTTTTTTATTTCGTGTTCAAATTTCTACAGAAAAAAGTTTCGTGCCTATTTTATCCCAAATATTTTTTCTGATTTAATCTTATAGCTACTTTTACCACGAGAGAAACGAGACGAGGCACTCTCGAGAGGAGAGTATTCTCGTCGAGACGAGGACCCATTTTCTCTCCCTGTACGAGACGAGACAAAAGAAGGACTTCTCTTCTTTTCTCGTTTCTCTATCGCAATCAAGCTAGCAATCATATCTACAATTCAACCCAATTCTACGTAAATCGTCTCTCAATCCTCACAATCCCATTGCAGTCCTGCAATTACTTATTTCAGGTCGTAATCCTACGAAATTGCAACAATTTAAAAAGAATTCTCCGAAATCACCGAAATCATGGGATTTCGGTCGCAATCCTCCGAAATCACCGCAATCATTCCGAAATCATGGGATTTCCGCAATACGTGAACATATTTTTTGAAGGTGGTTTCCCCCTCGACAGGGTGTTTCAGAATAAGATGCTGAACCTTAAGCTATGACCTAAACCGTCGTACCGATAAATGGTCAAGAAACCAAATTTGCCCTAAAAAAAATGGGGATTTAAAAAATAATTTTTATTTTGAAAAATACCAGTGGCGTGCATAATATTTTTCCAAAAATATCTAGATTCTAGACCACATCCTGTTCGGACGCCACTGGTAAAAAAAATTAAAAATCTTCTACATCAGAAACTTACTGTTAATGCTTAGAAGGCGTGTGCCAAATTTTATAAAAATATCTATAGGAAGTTATTAAAGTTATGATAAAAAAACGATTTTTTTCTTAAAACTTTAACACCCTGTAACTCAAAAATTAAGAGGTTTAGGTCATAGGTTTATTTGAACTTTTTTTCTTAAAATCAACTAAGGATTCACACCCTTAAGGTTCAGCATCTTATTCTGAAACACCCTGTATACTTATCCAAAATAATTTTTTGTCGAAAATACTTTTTAAAGTGCCACAGAAAATTTTACTGTTTCTATAACCACCTAGATAGAAATTGTTGGTAAGCCACTGTTTATAATAAAACTAACCTCATTTATCACGTGTTGGTGTGCCATTTTCTGAACACCCTGTATAGTTTAAGTTATAAATAAGTTAATAAATAAAGCTTCATGTAACAAATTAATAATTTAAAATTTAATTACCTATAACAAATGGAATAATTATTATGCAAAATAAATAATTATTAACCTTCAAACACTTGCTATCTATAAACATATGTGGGTCAAAATCAAGAAAAAAACAAAATTGAAATAAGTACCTACCGGAAACCACAAAATAAAATTTGATATGTCAAAAACTAACAATATTTTGAGAATTTTAATATTTCTTTAATACCTATTTTAAAATAAACCAAAAACAAAATATCTTTTGAAGTTAAAATTACAATAAAAAAAGTGGACACAGCAGTTTCAATGGAGACCTTTGTCTATTATCTTCATTCTAAAGCCATTGTTATCCAGTGTGCGGCGGGAGTTTGACTCTTTTTGTCAGGGCACGCGTCGATTTTCTATTTTCATTTCGTCAAAGTAGAGGTGGGAAACTATCGATAAATTTTACTATCGATAGTTCGATACAACCTAAGCAAAAACTATCGATACATCGATACTATCGAAAAAAGAAATTCTGCATCAAAATTAAGGACCATTTATTTAAAAAGTAATTTATTAGCGCCCATAAAAATTTAAATATTTACATTATTTGACTTAATTCGTGACTAAATAAAAAACGGTACAAATTCAGTGACATAACCATGGAGCCCACACAAGGAGCCCAAACTTAATAGGGGAAATTGGCCAAACCTGCCCTGTAAATCGCAAAAATTAAGTCTTTTTTTCTTTTTTCACTACCAGCGGCGCTGATTTTCTATGCGCATTGACGTCTTCTGTTTGGTAGCGTTTCGGTACAAATCAAAAAATCACACCAGCGCCCTCTTATCTTAGGAATATTTTTGTATACATGAAGTTCGGACTCCTTGTGTAGGCTTCATGGACATAACCTTCCTCTCAAATTTTGACAAATGACATGCATATAACCATTGACTTACGTCTATATATATAACACAGAGAGATGATCACAGCTCTTGCATAGAAATAATAGTAGTATTATTTCTATGAGCTGTTGTCTAGAGAATTGTCTGTCAATCCAGTGTTGCCAACCTGGATTTTTGTCGGGAAATCTATGAAATTTCGTCTAAAGATTTAACAAAAACTATCGATAGTATTTATAAAACTATCGATAATGCGATAGTATGGCTTTCGTTCGAAAACTATCGATACATCGATATTTGCATTCGATAGTTTCCCACCTCTACGTCAAAGGCTAAAATTAAATTTAAAGTCAATTCGACTCGTCGGGATTAATTAGGAGAAATTAGAATCTTCGCTTCTTTGAAATCTATTTAAAGTAGAGCAAGCATCCTAATACATGTCTAGACATAAGTCTTCAGTCTTAATTTTGACAATTGATTGCCTTAAAATATAATATATGAATACGAACTTTCTATGGAGAAATTGTAGACAAATATCAAAATCCCAATTAAAAAAGTAACGGCCTTTCTTACTAGATATATAGTATTTTTCGTTACAAACATTATGTAGCATGTTATAAAACACCTGGTGATGTGTCCACTTATAAAGTAATAATGTGGGAAAAACCACTCATGCAATGCTTATTGGAGATTTTTTTTCTACTGAAAATGGTAGGTTAGTTACGAGGTACTTATTTCATTACTATTATGAATCACTTTTGTGACTCATATATGTAGTTAAAATATGCGTAGATATTATTAGAAAAAAATTATTTATTCTTAACCGAAATCAAAAGAGCATTACTTCAATGTTGCATTTTTAAATGAAAAGTTAAAAAAACATTAATAATAGAATAAGAAAAAGTTGACATCTTAAATTATAAGTCAAATATTTTTAAAATATCCCCAAAAAGAATCTCTAAACCAATAAATTAAACGATAATTTGATTTCCTGTAACTTTTTCTATACGTTGCAGATAAACATGTTATGATCTATTTTTGTGTCCCTCTAAAAATAAGCAACACGTCATAAAAGTAGCCCATCACCTTCATATCATAAAAGCCGCTAAAACAAAACGGTCATTTTATTTTTTGTTTACTTTTTCACCGGGAGTAATTTTAGACACCGTTTCCTGAATGAAGTGTGTATTTACACACCCGTTCATGAGAATTTTCTTTGTGGAATCCTGTTATTTTTATATTTCTCCGAAATAACTTATTAGATTTGAATAAACGATTAGGTATTTAAATTCCAAACACAGTTTCAGTGGTTGAGGAGTTTTGATTGGATTAAAAATTGTTAAATTAATTAAAATTAGTAGGCTTACAGAATTTATAGTCAAACTTAAGATAAAATTAATACCAGCATGCCTTGACAGTTTCCCATTTTAAAGTTTAATTTGTTTTTTCTACAAAAAAATTAATTTTATGATACCATTTTAATAAATACGAAGTTAAAAACTCTAAATTGTGATTTTATTGTCTGGACCACCGGTCAACTTGATTTGTGTTGCTCGCAAGGAGTGCGTAAGATCGAGTTACCTAGCAGACAAAAACCGCATTCCATTGGACAGGTAAATAATCCCTCCCCAGCGCTCACTATTCGATTAGTCAAGTACTCTCTTAAATTAAAAAAACACACAACACGAGTTAATACCTAAATCTAATCAGACTTACAGTCCAAGTGTTTTTTCTTGGGCCCTATCATTTCTTCCGTAGTCGCTTTGCAGACTGCTTTCGCTAGCCCTTGGCCGGCAATGCTGTGTCTTGCGGCCAACAACCTGTCGTTAATAGTCTGCCCTGCCATTCTGCTCGTCATTTTGCACTGTTTTTTTCACTTCGATTGCACTTTTAATACACTCTAAACACTACGCGTGCACTTTTGGCCCTTTACGCAAAGCACGAACCCAACGAAACCACCGAACTAACGAACTGACGTGCTGTCACTGACAAAACAACGACGATTGCGTCAAATTGAAATAAAATCTCGAACACGCGCGCGGTGTTGCCAAGTCCGTCAGAAAGGAATCTAACCTGTTGATTTTAAATCTGTTCGCCGTCTCCAAGAAAACGGAAAGTGAGCACTGATATTTTGTTCCCTACCATTTAATCGTGTAATAAAATTATTTTAAAAGTGGATTTGTTACTTTCAATTTGCGCATAAATATGAGCTTGTAATAGAAAATGTTCTCCAATCAAAGGCTGTGGTTCACAGCACGGCATTCTCAGCGTTGCCAACTTTTTTTTCGAGATACCTATCACTAGGGTTGAGAATTTGTCCCTTTTTTCTAGATTTTTTTTTCAGAAGTAAGTATAATTATGTGAATCTCACGAAATGTTCCCAGATGGTTTTACCCCGTGATATTTAATAAAACTAAATGAGTTTGACCTACACTTTTATTGTGTTTTGATCTTTCATAATTAAGTAGATATTATAGCTCAGGTTCCAGATTTTTAACCGCACTTAATTATTTTTTACAATGTTTTAAAAGTCTAAAACCTATCCTCCGTGACTGTTACTCTTTCTAGGTTAACCTATATGTTTTCAAATAGGTATCTGAGGTAGTAAAAGCATACTAAAAATATCAGTTCACCAAGTAAATTAAACGCATCCAAAGCAATCGAATCAAATATAAAATATTATTAAAAATTAAAAGAAATAATTTTTATAACCATTTATGTAGGTATTACAAAAAATGATTCTATCCTCCGTGAATCTGTTTTTTCTTTAAATTTTATGCAACGGATGGCGCTTTAATCATTTTAAATAAGCAAAAACCGCTGCAGCATGTTTAGAATTTATATGCAGATGAGAGTGTTGCTGTTTTATAATTCAAAAGTTTAAGTTCATAAATTTGCTATTTAAAAACCTATCCACCGTGAAGTGTAATATCTCAGTAAGTAGATTTTTTTTTATAAATATTTTATGTACGCACAATTGTATTTTTTAATAATATGAAGGTGTCAAAAGATACAATGACTTATTTCAAATATACAAAGGGATGTTTTAAAAAACATACGAAATCCCAACCTCCGTGAAGCTCTAAAATTCTAAATGTATGATTTCTTAAAATTCTTGCATTAATGCAGAACCACGTTATGTTATTACTAGACCTGGTGGCTTCCCGAAAAACCAAAAATAAAAAATAATCATTTTCACTTGGGGGACATCTCAATATATTCACCCAATTATTATAGTTAAATTTTTATAAACGAATTGTATATCTACTTTATTAACAAACAACACAAGTACATTTTTTCAGAATTGAAAGCCAATTTTATTTGACATTTTATCTGACATCTGAACAACTTTCAACCATTCATTGGTTTTATCCACTCCCACATTGAACAGCCTTGACTTTATGGCGTTTTAGTCACAGCCTGAAGTTAGCAACAGTGGCTTTTGGGCTTTTTAGTCACGCGCTAAAGTTATCATAAATTGGAAAAAGTTAGGTTAAAATGTCAAATTTTAACTTCAACGGCGGCCATTTTTATGTTGTTTAAAATTATTGTGCTTTGGGTTTGTGCTGTTTATACAGATTAATAATCGTTTTAAACGTTGTGTTTCTTAGAGGCACTTTTAAGCATTAAAAGAGGCCAAGGACAACCATTTTACTCCTATTTTGTAAAAAATAAACCCTATTTTTTCAGAGCTGTCATTAAAACTGTCAAATGTCAATTTGAAGGTTAATTTGTGGGTTATGGTAAATTAACCTTAAAATTGTCATTTGACAGTTTGATTTCTATGGCTGCACCCAAAGATAATAAACCATATAGTGCGATGGGGAATATCGTGGAGGTTTAGCGAACAGTTTAAAAGGAAGATAAAACATCGGCAACAATGTAATCCATTAAAATAATAAAAATTTCAACTTTTAAGGCTTATTTTATAGTAAAACAGTCCAAAACAACTAAACCACACAAAAACTAATGGGTTAAATTAATTTATTTGGAATATTTAAAAATAAAAAAACATTTCACATGACATTTTAAACGTCAGATCGACATAACCAAGAATATTTTGTTTACCTTATGTAATTAAAAATGCGTATTTTCGCTAAATTTAAAGTGATTTATTAATTAAATGTCGTCCAAATTGAAGTTGTACTTGGGCAGAAAGGTATGCATTACATATGTGTGAAACAATAATACTTAATATTTAATAAATAGGTTCTAGATTGTGTAAATAAACCCAATATATCCAACCTGCAAAATGTGATACAAGTAGAAAATAATACTAAAAGTGGTAATGTAAACTTGAAGTTGCCTTTAGTTTGTTTGGAGGCTCAAATTGGTTCGAGTGAGATACCAAAATTACTAAAAATCCAACCGGATGATATAATAAAACAGCTTAAAATTGAGAATAAGTGCATAACATTCGAAATTGATAAAAAATTGTTTATTGCGGATGTTATTGAGAGTTGTGCCAATCCAGATTTAAATTTAGACAATGAAAAAATTGTTGTGGAATATAGTTCTCCCAATGTGGCAAAACCATTTCATTTGGGGCATTTAAGAAGCACAATAATCGGGAATTATATTGGGAATATAAATAAGTTTTTAAGGAACGATGTGACCAGAATTAATTATTTGGGGGATTGGGGGACCCAATTTGGTTTTATTAAAGTTGGGGTGGAGGATTTAAAATATACTTCCGAAAATATTAAAGAGAATCCTATAAAGTTGCTGTATAAATGTTATGTCCATGCGAATAAATTAGCAGAAAAAGATCCAAATATATTGGAGAGGGCTAAAGTGGAGTTTGCAAAGTTGGAGAACGGTTCAATTGAGGATATTAAAAACTGGAGAGTTATTATAGGCTATACTAAAGATGAACTTAAAAAAACCTATGAAAGATTAGGCGTGCAGTTCGATGAATACAACTATGAATCTATGTACGGTTCAAAAGATATACAGGATGTTATAGACATATTAAAAAACAAAAAACTCCTCATCAAACAAAAAGATGGCAAAGAAACTATAAAAATGAACGACAAAAACATTACAATCCTCAAAAGCGATGGCTCTACTCTCTACTTAAGCAGAGATATAGCCGCTGCAATGCATAGATACAAGAAATACAACTTCGATAAAATGTTTTATGTGGTTGAGAATGGCCAACACGACCATTTTAGCGCGTTAAAACACGTTATCAAAGAAATGGGATGCAAATGGTCTGACAAGTTGACGCATGTTAAATTTGGTAGGATCAGGGGGTTGAGTACAAGGAAAGGTACTGCGGTTTTTTTGAACGATATTTTGGATGAGTGCAGGGAGCTTATGATTCAAAAACAAGTATTATCGCCAAGTAGGTAAACAATGAAAAATATTTTGCTCAAAAGCTCTTGTTTTCGCGATATTATAATTAATCATCCGATGAATAATGCGCATAATCTCGAGTGTAATACTATACTTTATCTACTCTGCCTAAAGGACAAAAGGTCAGTTTAATTGTTAAAAGCATTAAAAATTATCTTTTGTCCTTTATTACCTAATATTGTAGATAGGTACGGCAGTTTTGCTTAGCAGGGCAGTACTCCAATAAGTAGGTAGTAATTAAATGATTTTCAGAAATAATTAAATAAAATCTAACATCTGTCAAAAGGTTAACCTCACTTTTTACCAATTTTATATATAGTCGCCCAAAGATAATACCTCTCCCAATTTAAAGGTTTTAAATTGTAGGTAAATGCACAATCCACACAACAAGGTCTGTTCTATCTCGTACTAAAAATACTAAAAATCACTGCAACACTGCTCAGACTTTAACGGCGGCCATTTTTGTTGTTTACAATTTTTGTGCTTTGGGTTTGTGCTCTGTTTATACATATTAATAATTGTTGTTTCAAAGAAGAGGCCTTAAAGTGCTAAGATCAACCATTCTATCAGGGTTGTCATCAAACTGTCAAATGTCAATTTTAAGGTTAATTTATAACCCAAAAATTACCTTTCAAATTGACATTTGACAGCCCTGATGGAATAAGTTATATTTTTTATAAAAGAGGAGTAAAATGGTTGTCCTTGGCACTTAAAGGCCTTATTTGAGGCTTACAAGTACCTCTGTAAAAAACAACGTTTAAAACAGCACTAACCCAAAGCACAAGAATTTTAAACAATAAAAATGGCCGCCATTAAATGATGTGCAGTGTTGTAGTGATTTTTAGTACGAGATCAAACAGACCGTGTTGTGTAGATTGTGCTTCAAACAAAAAAAAATGCGGCATTGTCAAAATTTTGACCTCAATTTTTTTTGCCACCTCTTTTTGCGTTTTATAGAAAAAACAATTTAAAAAACATTTACCCTCAATTTAAAAAAAAAACGATCGAAACATTCTTGGCCAAGTTGTCACTCGTAAAAAGAGAAAAATCGATGTGTCTGTCCATTTTTCAAAAATTTCCTACGGGAGAACAATAGTTATTTGTTTTACAAGTGTTGAAAAGCGACTTTTTCATGCGAGTTTTTAAGTTGCTCACGAGGCCGTTAGGCCGAGTGTGCATTAACACGATCTTGAAGAAAGCTTTTCTCACAAGTATAACACAATGTTTTTTCTACGACCCTTTTATTTTTTATTATTTTTAAATACAAAACAAAATAACATAAAAACGTGTTTGACAGCTGAATGTCAAACGATGCTGTCAATTTCTTTTCACACAGACCTGTCACTTTTCACACAGAAATGTCACTTTACATTCGTGTTTTGCCTTGCCAATGAAAAGATTCATTTTCTAAGCAACGATGCCATCATGAAAAGTGACTTTTACATAGTGGTCGTAGAAAAAATAATTTTAAGCCAAAAGAAAAATACCGGTCTCATCGATTTCGGTAGAGAAAAATAATTGAAAATACTGAACCGCGCGATTTTAATCGGACTTTATTCAGTAAACTACGTCACAGAGAAGGCTGCTCGTCCGAAGACTCCGTTGTTATTCAAAATCTATTTTTTACCAGGGTAATGTGTACTATTTTAAAGTAAATATATTTTAGATACAAAGGTTCCCATAAGCGACGATAGAATTTCGGATATTTTGGGCATTTCTTGTGTTATTGTAAACGATTTGAAGCAGAGGCGACAAAAGGATTATGAATTTGACTGGGACAGGGTTTTGCAGGTTTTTAAACCACTATTTAGATAAATTTATTAATCTTAAAAACAATGTTAGGTTCAAGGAGACACGGGAGTGAAATTCCAGTACACTCACTGCCGATTATGCAGTTTGGAGCAAAATTCAGGTGCAACTCCTGCTAAAGTATGCGTCCCTGAAGCACTAGACGAACCTGAAGCATTAATTTTACTGAAGCACCTTGCCAAATTCCAAGAGGTTTTGCTTGCTTCACAAGAACAGCTGGAAGCTTGCATTTTAGTCAACTATTTGTTCCATTTATGGTACTTTTGCTGATAACTTTTTAGGTATAATATTTTAAATGTTTATTTTTTAGTAATCACATAAGTAAGGCTCTAAAAGTGCTCCAAATAAAAGGAGCAAATCCAGACATAGCCTCACAAAGATTATTACTCTTTAATACATCCAGAGAGGTTTTGAAAAATGGGATGAATATCTTGGGGTTGCAACCTTTAAATCAAATGTGATGGATTCAATAAAGAGTTTTTTATTGTTAAAACTATTTTTTATTTATTTATTTATTTACAAAACTTAACGTTTCTTCCATGTGAACTTTCTTCTAGCGCCTTGTTGACCAGGCTTCTTCCTTTCTCTGGTACGGTAGTCACGGGTTAGTAAACCAGCTAAAAAAATATTTGTGATGAGTGTTTTATGATGCATTTTTAAATGGCAGAAGGAGGCTAATTGCCAAAGAATCGATTATTGTTTTCTTTACAGCCTCCTTTGGCCATTCCAGACCCAAATGATTTTTTTACCTAGTCTCATTTTTTCGATAGTTTCCTGGTCCAGAAAGCTCCTTAAACCCCACGCTATGCCCCATCTTATGGCGCCAGCTTGCCCGGATGATCCCCCTCCTTCAACATTGGCTTCAATATCCACCTTGTTAATCATATTGGTAAACAAAAGTGGAAATATCACCTAAAATTTTCCGTAAAAATTCCATTGAGGCAATCGATTTGAAGAATGTAAAATTATTAGTAATGTTTAAAGACCTTTTTGATTTGTTTGTGTTACTGTTTAATAAAAAACATTTCCAAGAAGATGTGGACAAAAAATTAACAGATGTTTAAAAAAGCAGGAAAATTACCCAAAGGTAAGGGCAAATATTTGGAAAATATATGGGTCATTATACTATTAAGGCTCTCTGTAATTTGTCAGTTGTCCCTAACTTTCTTATTAAAAAAATAATAAATAAACAAAATAAACAGCCAATATAGAACTTAAAATAACAAAAATTTATAGAAAATTTTTTATTTGAATATAAAAATATTTTTAATGTCTTAATTAAGTTTGAAAGTTAGAATCACACTCTATAACCCCATCCCCCATCATATTGCAATACGGCCATTCCAAGCCCATGGACAGGACACATCAGAAACATGTCTAAATATATTCTTGTTACTTCCTTAAGTTTACATATTTTTTCTACGAGTATTTATGAGAAGTATTAGCCAAATTTGGCTAATACTTCTCATAAATACTCGTAGAAAAAATAAGTAAACTTAAGGAAGTAACAAGAATATATTTAGACATGTTTCTGATGTGTCCTGTCCATGGGCTTGGAATGGCCGAATAGTAATAGGTTTTGTATGAAACAGAATTCTAAACCTAAAATAAAAATAACAAATAAGTAGCTCTTCAGTACTAATTAAGAATGTGATAAAATGTCTACTTCGTCACAAACCGCCTAAATAAAAACAGCTTTGTTATAAAATACACTGGAGTTTAGCATTAAGTACATATAAAAGAACTCTGTAACCCATGTAGTTTATAACTGTGGCACGATATGGCGCCACTGCAGGCAATGGTATCGCTATTGTTATTTTGCGTGTTACAAACAAGCATCGATTGTTTTTGAAGGTTATCTTTCGTCACGGCATTTACTCTGTAAGTATTTGCAGTATTTAATTTTGAAAACAGACAACAAAATAGAGTAAAAACTGCAAAAAATATCGTACGTGTATTACTGGTTGCTGCCCTACTGAAGATTACTTAATTTCCATCTTAAAATCTATTTTGGTCGTTGAATAAACATTTAAATTGTGGAATGCTATTAAATAGAGTTTATTTTATAGCTAATTTGCCCAACAGTCGTGCGAAGTACTATTTTGTCGCGCAATGTTCATTTTGGCATGTGATGTCTATTTGGGCGTGCAAATCTCTCTTGACTTGCGATATTTTCTTTTGACGTACAATACTCTATTTTGGCGTGCAAAGATATATTTTACATTGAAATTAATTTATTTATCGTGAAAAAATTGTTTGGTCGCCGTACATATTTTTCTGTCGTTGAAATGACCAAATTTGTCGTTGATAGGTACTCCAAATATTTTATTTGTTTTCAAAATATTTCTAAGCTAGAAAAATATAAGAGTAGCTTTAAGAAATTTTTACTGTCGTTATCTGGGTTGCCAACCAACATTCCAACAAACAAGTACTGTACTTGTTTGTTGGAATGTTGGTTGGCAACCCAGATTACAACAGTAACACTAAGTCTTGAATTTTTTATTATCCCGCAAAAGACATTATTATATTTGCTTGTGAAGTTATATTTCACTTCTTAGAGCTTCTTAGAAAAAAACAACATTTTTTACCAGCAATTTTATTTTAACATAGATTACATAATAATTTCAATTAAACAACTTTCAACAAAGCAACAGTTAATCTTAATTATCTACAAGTAAAATCTCACAACCACTATTTAACTAATATCACACTTTCAAATGGCATTATAAACCTGTACAATATTACAATTAGGAATGGATTTAATTCGGCTGAGTTGATATTCATTATATTATATAAACTATCCGCCTATCTAGAAAAATATGGTATAAAAATATATATCGCTAACATTTCGAACTAAATTTTTTACTTTGTATAATAGTGTTCAGTAATTGCTCCATTATTTTTTGGTTGTTGGCGTTAATTTGCTTCAATTCTCGTATTTCTTTGCTTAGGTGGTCGATTTGTTCGGTGTTTTTTTCAATTATAGTCTGCAGAGGCAAGGCACCGGAATATTCGAAGATATCACTCGTTTGGTCCGCCGTGTTGTTGTTGATGACTTTTTTGTTGTACTGGGTGCTCTGGCTTGCCTGCGACGAAATGGTGTGGCTGTAGTGTTTTCTCTTTTTCGCGATCTCGTGCGCCGCCTTCAGAATATCCCTCGGCAATCTTTTTTCCCTCGGATTCAGCGGTTTGACGTTCAACACCACCCTGTACGCCTTGGGCGAGACCAACGCGGTCCAGTGAAGCAGATTCAGCAGGTATCTCGGTAGATACCCGTTGAACAGAGCCAACTCCATGTAGGATATCAACTTGGTCTGCCTCACCAACTTCGACAAACCCGCCGTCTTCTGGAGACCCTGTATGTCGTGCACGGCTATACCCACAAGAAGATTCATGAGAATCACGGTGACGAACAGCAGAAACAAGATGTACGTGACCTGCGCGCTTATTTCGAGCAGAAACGGCGGATCGTCGGGATCGTCGTCCACCAGCAAATCCAGACTCAGCTCCCCCGTCATCATCACCAAAACCGTGATCAATCCGATGAACGGGTTCGCGAACGTGGACGAGTCGGGAAAAATGACGCAGAAGCTTATGGTGAAGCCGATCAGGAGGCAGGAGTAAGCGAGGAGCAGCTTGGCGAACTCGCCCTGCACTCTGGTGTACATGGCGACGTAGGAGCCGAAGATGGGCAGCTGGCCGACCATCAGCATCAAGTTGGTCCAGCCGAAGAGGACGGCGAAGGCGCCCACGTGGTTCTGCCACGTGTACGTCCTGCCGGTGTAGATGAAGGAGATGACGAACACGCTGACGATCACCGTCCACTCGATGATGTTTTCCGGGTGGGATAGGTACTGCCGCACGCTGGGATAGCCGGCTATCCCGTAGGCTTTGCGCAGTATCTCGCAGCAGGTGATGGCCACCAGAACGAACCACTGCATTTCTATGACGAACGGGTTCTTGCGCAGCATGTTCCCCATCATGGACTTCTTCTCGCAGAGTTCTATGACGTTCTGCGGTTCGGTGTCGTTGTAGTTTTTGCCGTGGTTGTAGCAGTTGTGCGCCAGAGCTGTGAGAACGTAGAGGGAGAGACTCAGCACGAAGATGAAGCAGAACAGCATGCGCGCGATGTAGTACTTGCGGATTTTCTCCCACTTTAGATAGAGGAACGCGGAGCACAGCGGGTGGAGGAGTATCTCTTTCTGGCCCTCGTCCACGAAAGTGTTGAGGAAGCTTATTTCCCGCGGGTGGCAGTGCTGGAGTATGCTGCGAAAGTCCAGCCTCAACTCCACCTCCCTGTTCGAGGATTCCGGATGGTGGTGAAGCGTTATGGCGGAGTCGAGTTTTTGCGTCACCATCGCCAGAGAAGCGGGGGTTTTCCTCGTTATTATGCCCAAGGCGGTCATGCCGAATTTCGACTTCGCCGTCACGTCGGCGCCGTGGTAGATCAGTATTTCGACGCACTGCGAGAGCTCGTTGAGCGAAGCTATGTGCAGAGGCGTGTATCCGTACTGATCCTTGCTGTTCACGTCGGCGCCGTAACTAACGAGGATTTCTATGATGTCGTACGATCTGGCAGCTTTACATACAGCCGCGTGTAGTGGTGTTCTTTTATCGACGTCACCGATATTGGCGTCGGCGTTTCCTTTGCGCAACAACAACTCGACGCAGTCGTAGGCCTGCGATCTGGCTGCCAAATGCAAGGGGGTCTGGCCTCGTTGGCTTCTGTAGTTGCTGTTGGCCCCGCGCTCCAAAAGAATCTCTATGCACTCGACGTAACCCCCTTCAGCTGCCAGATGCAGCGGGGTCAAATCCTTACCTTTCGTTTTGGCGTTCACGTTCGTACCTTTGGCTTCGCACATGATTTTGAGGCACTGCGGGTGCCCCAAATCCGAAGCCAAGTGTACCGGCGACAACCCCGAGTACTCCACTTGCCCGACATCCGCCCCTTCCGCCGTGAACAACCGCACGCACGCGATTGCGTTTGCTCTCACCGCGCAATGCAAAACGCTCTCGTGGCACGTGTGGGGGCTGTTCGTCAACGTCTGCACTCTGGCGCCGTTGTTCAGCAGTATCATGGCGGTCTCGGGGCTGTCGCCGAACGCGGCGCAATGCAGCGGGGCGTAGCACTTGAAGATGGCGTTAACGTCGCCCCCTTGCGCTATGAGATACTGAGTGCCGGGTATGCAACCGCTGAACGAGGCCAGATGCAGGGCGCTGAGGCCTTGGCTCGGCTCGTAGTACGTTATCTTCGCCCCCAATGTCTTCAAACCGTCCAGCAAGTCCCAACGCTTCATGAAGGCGGCCCACAGGAAGGATATGTTGATCTCGAACGACGACGCGCCCGCGAACAGATCCTTCATGTTTTCTTGCGTGGTCTTCTTGCTTTCGATGTCGTCCAGCAGCTGATGCCTTCCGGAGGACACCTTCATGTGCTCCATCAGGTTCATCTTGATCGTGTCGTGGCATATCTGCACGGTCAGCTCGCTGCCGGTGCTGAACTCCTCGAAGCTCTCGTAGATGTTGGGCGTGTGGTCGGCGGGCGGCGACGGTCCGCACTCCATGTACTCGAACTCATCGGACGGGAACTCCTCCTCCAGCATCGCGTCGGGGTCTTCGCGTTGCCGCCGCCATCGCAGTAGCGTCGCCGAGGTGTGCGTTTTGTAGAGGGGATAGTTTTCGGTAGGCGCGTTCACGCTCACAGATCGGCCCAGTTTTCGCGGATGCGTCGTATCCTGGAAGCCCAAGTTTTCCATCCCAAAGGACCGGTTATTTTCCGACACCGCAACCATTTACCTAAAAGAAGTATATCGTTATTATTTTGTGCCAACTAGCAACTATGCTATGAAAAAGTTGAAATTTCTGTAGCGTACAGTAACCAAATGGAATGAAAAATGTAATTTTCTCAATAATCGTGTTTTCCTTTCACAACATTGCAGAAGACTTGGTTTATTCAACACAGGCTACTTGAGGAGTGATTTTTCAAAAGGCCTTATTTCCATTTTTACTTCAATGTAATTTTTTGACAAAATCCCAAAGGTATGGTTAAAAGGCATATCGTCACCCTAATATAACAAGGTTGTATGTTAAAAAACCGAAAAATTTGAGTTTATGCTTCTACAAGGTTTTATGTAATCCACCCTTGACATACAACTTGAAAATAACTATATATATATATATACATGAATATACATTCTATAGAATTATTTTTAAGTGGTATGTGAAGCGTAGGCCACGTATAATCCTGTAGAAACTTACTTAAATTTTTCGTTTTTTTAACATACAACCTTGTTATATTAGGGTGACGATATATTAACGGCGAAATATGACAGCAGGTCTGAAGTATTATTAAATATTCATCAGATTTTTTTTTTTAATAATCTATATTGCCCTAACCTATACAGGTTATATTCATTTTTTTGAAAAATTGTTGTAAATGAAAATACGACCTTTTGAAAAATCACTCCTCACTTGACAGTTTGCTTTCCCAATATAACAAAGATGTATGTTAAAAAAGCGAAAATTGTTGCATTATGTTTTTACAAGGTTATACATGACAGGGTGTCCCAGAACTTGTACCATAGAGAAAAAGGGGGCCTGCTGATAATAATGAAGATTTCAAATTAAAAAATATAAAATGTCTAGGTAATAGTTTAATCAAATGAGAGCAAAAAAGCGGCAGCCAATACCGAGAGCTCTCACCTAGGTTAAACGCAAGATACATACACATTAAGATAGGATGGTGCGCATGTTGGGCGGGGCTTAAATACGTCACTTGATGAGTGTTTTTAAATCTTTAACGTGCTTTTTAATTATCTGCTGCTAAAATTCTTGTTTTTGCGATGCTTTTGGATGTTAACTTGCTCTATTTTTTGTTTAACTTGTTGTTTTTGTGTTCGGTAAGGTTCGAATTACTTTTCAGTGTTCAAATTATTGTTATTGCGTTGTGTTAACCTGTTCTGTTTGTTTAGTATTGTGTTTGTTTTGCGTTAACTTGGTTTGTTTTTGTTTTAGATTGTGTAGTGCCATTTGCATTTATTAAAATGCAGTGTGGCATATTTGGATGCAATTCGGACAACCAGTCCAAGAAAAACCCTTTAAATAAAAACATTTAATTTCATCGATTCCCGAAAAACTTTGATTTGTGCAAACAGTGTTTAAATGCCACAAAAATAATAGACAATATTAACGTTAAGACCGCTTCTGTTTCCTATAAACATTTTCTGGACAGTGACTATAAGTTTAATTTAAAACACCAACACCCTAAATGTTATCAAGGACTGAAAGCATCTATTATCCATATTAGAACACTTTCTTCCACATTAAGTTTAATAAAAACGTACTATTTCCGGATATTTCTTTATTTTCTTTGATAATATTACTATTATTCGTGTATTCTCACGGCAACTACTCATCAAGTGACGTCATGCGCGGGACGAACCAAAACTTGTACACGGGAGCATCCAGCCCTGGGTTAAACGCATAGAGAAACAAACACAAAAGAGTGCCCAATTGCCTGTTAGAAGTGGGGAACATAATTATTATGGTGGCGACTCTAGTGGCTACTGGAAGAACCAGCTTAAAGCGCGGTACATTCAAATTTAAATATCTTAAATGATTGTTTTGTTTTCTCTGGTAACAATGTGACAAAACCTTACTTTTTACTTGTTGTCTGTTGTAATAACATAAAATCGAAATTGTTGGTTTTTTAAAATACAACCTTGTAATAGTTGTCAGATGTCAAATTATATTGGCTTTAAATTCCTTGCGGTAGTTGAATAGTTGAATATTGTGTGCGTCTATTATCAATTTTACTTGTGGATATTTGAAATATCTTTATAAATTTATGTTCTTATTAATTAACTATTAACTACATTACGCATAACAAGTAAAAAAAATCCAACTCTAAAACTCCTTTACCAATCTTTATAAAATTTTGGATAAAAATACTTTAACTTATATCTTCAAGGGTTTTTCGAGAAAATATCCTTAAAGCCCTTTTATTTAATAACAAAAAACGATCGAAAAAAAACTTTTATAGGGAATTTTTTTTAAGTAAATAAAAAATATTCTGTGAAAGACCGTATTTTTGTTAGTAAACCCTGAAAATGTTGTACAAATCAAACGAACAGTAACAAAAATACAGCGCTTCAAAGTCGTCAAAAATGAGCATTTTTCAGCAAAATAATCAAAAAGGGGTAATTTTTACCAACTTTGAAGCGCTGTATCTTCGTTACTGTTCGTTTGATTTGTACAAAATTTTTAGGGTATACTAACAAAAATACGGTCTTTAACACCATATTTTTAATGTGCTTTACTACAAGGGCTTTAAAAATATTTTTTTGAAAAACCCTCGAACACGTAAACTGAGATATAAGTTGAAGTATTTTTATACAAAATTTCATAAAGATTGGTAAAGGCGTTTTTACTTATTATGCGTTCATTTTAAGGGGCAGTGTATTTATAAATTTTTTTCAGAAATTTTATTTTAAAATATTAGTTTTAAAAAAGTATTCCGGTACTGGGAATCGAACCCGAGCCTCCTGTATGAGAGACATTTAAAACATTTATTTGACATATTATTAATTATATTCCAACATATCAATGAATTATTCAGGAGAAAACCCCTTACCATATTAAGAGCAAAGTATTCTAACCACTAGACCATACGGGATATACTTTATATTGACTTTATTATATTTTTTATAACAAGACTTTATTATATTTTTTATAAATCAGTTAATTTCCAACAAAAATCAGTTCGGTTCCGGCGCTCGAGTAGACGGGTCGCGTGCGGGCGAGCTCTTGAAACGTAAAGGTTTAAAGATGAAACCAACAATAATTAAAAAAATAAAGTGAAACAAACATTTTCATGGAGTGCAAGCTGGAGTGGTGTAGTGGTGTAGCGGTCATTGAGGAGTGGAGGGTTGGTGATATGAGTGACTTGGGTGCCACCTGTCATTGGAGGCTTTTCACTGGACGGACGGGGGAGGTCGGAGAAGAGGGGAGGTGGTCATCCGCAAGGGGAAAAATCTGATAAGTTTTACTTTAAGAGTATGCATGACCTGATACAAATCTGCAATATAAATACGGCAGATCCCGGCAAGCATTTTCCGTTACTTGTCTCCATTAACATTGCCCGTATTCATTTCATTAAACATAACATTTATTTTACTTGGAAATGTTAAAATAACTTTAAAATATGATTATGTTAAGAACATATTTTACTCTTTAAACAATTGTTTTGTTTTTAATTACTATCATTGCAAAATTGTATTAAAAAGTGTTAAAAATTCTTACACGGGCAATGCTAATGGTGTTAGGCATCGTTAAAGTGTTTATTGGGATATCTTTATAATCTATGAAGGGCGCGCGGCGTGGGGCAATAAGTCTGTCAACGGCAAGTGCGTAAAGCGGTCCCAATCGAGACCGAAATAAACACTGGACTGACAGAGTAAACTAACATTGATCACATAATTCTAACACATTAAAAAAAAGGGCCTAATAGCCAAACTCGAGATTTGTAAACATTAGACGACAGAATGATCGCGCTTGTGATTTGTTGGACTAGTGAATAAATGCAATGCCTTGGAATTTGATAAACAAAGACGGAACTCTACCACAAAACGTGCTTGGGACAAAAATTATTAAAAACAACTGACACACTTTACCAAGGGCAGGAGCTATCTGACCAGGACACGGACAACGACAATAACGAACAAGACAAAGACCTCGACTACACCCCTGCAGCGAAATAACAACTCCCCAACTCCAAATAGTAATCCCAAATGTTTGGAGTAAAACTAATCGACTGGTCTAGGGGGATTCCGCGTCGTACTTAGTTTTAAGTCGGCGTAATTGTCCCCCAAAAACCAACTCCCTCCCGTCCCTCATCCACACCCCACCGAGCGTATAGCATAGGCTCGGCGAACCCGGGAATGGCTATTATAACTATTCGCCTCTCGCTCTCGAGCCCCAAATAGGGGACAGTACGAAACGCAATGGACATTCGCACCCAGCAAACACGGGTGAAGCCGTGCAGTTGCTGGGGAAGAACAAAAATCGGCGCAAGTAAACATAGGCCTGTACGGGGTTCGCGAGTCAAGAGGAAATGGGGCTGGTTATACGTCTCTTATACTCATACTCATACTCAGTTAATTTCCAACAAAAATATACTACTCATTGCAATATCCAAACTATTAGGCAAGTTATAAAATTTAAAAAAAAATCTTTTTAAAAACTTTTTAAACTTTTGAAATGGCTAGGTTTACGAAAAAATTATAGGAGACATTTTTTGTAGAGCATTTAATTTTCCATCAAAATATGTATAGCTATATATTCATTTGTTGGTGAGATACAAAAGGAAACGTAAAATAGAACAAATTTAATATGAATTATTTGCTTTCGTGACCTTACAGTACCTATTTCCTCAACACCCTGTATTTTAACAAAATCTTAAGCTATGCTACAAGCCAAAACCATGATTCAGACAGGAAAGGTCGTTCGAAAAATTACACATCAAAACAAAAGATTGCCATCACACTTGTAATAACAAAATGTCTTTTACTGTCAAGGTCATCTATTAAAAAAATGTTCTTACATTCTTACAACCTGACCGAACTTAACAGTAATCAGTATACATAATACAATTACATGACTTTTTTCTGACCATTCTAGTAGTTTCGCTGTTTTATTTACCAGCAGTATTTTAATAAAATAATTAATGAATAAAAGATTGTTAAACTTTATGAACGGATTATATTATAAACAATGCCTACAAAGATAATGCTCAGAAT